CTCTTGGCTTCTAAATTAAAAAGTACTTTGCGCGACCAGATTTTTTGTTTGCGCGCCCAAATGTTTGCCTGCGCGCCTAACTTTTTGAGGCTAGGAGCGCATGCGCTCCTAAGCTAAAAATTTAGTCTGGAGGGTTGTAGATATATGTGAATTTTTATTTGGTACAATGACCAATACCTGTAACCATCTATGAAGTAAAGGAGATAAATTAGATGGCAATAGTTTCTGACCATTTTTAGTATGATCCACACACCCTATATTCTGACTGGTGCAGGTAAAATTTGTCTGGACCAGGTATGCAAGAAAAAGTACAGATTTGATAATGTATAAAAATTTGTATTAACTGAGACTGTAAAAAGAACTCCATCCTTGCCTATTTAATGAGACTTTGATAAAGGTACCCTCGATTTAAGTCAATCAATTCCTGATGTCAACTTACAGTAATTGTGAAATGGCATTTGAATAAAAATAAGGAAACAATTCTAACAGCTGATACAATAAAAATGTAATCTGTATGCCAAATATTACTGATCCATATATATATACAGATGTATGTACTTCAACCTATTGTATTTTTGGTTTCTTTAATCTGCAGAATTTGAAGTTAAAGCAAATATTTCACAGATGAAACAGCATTTTCTTCCTACCCACCAAAGCACTTCAGACTACTGTGGATCACTGATTTCCCCTGAGTCCAACCATTCTATTGTTCTACAGTTGTCCTTTGGGAAAACTGTCTGCAACTCGAAATTCAAACCAAGGCATAAATTTATATCCATGAAGGTTGTAGACATCCAGGTAATGAGATACATAAGATAACAGTGACTCAAGCAACTAGCTAGATTTTGAAAACTGTCAGACGCATAAAAGTAGTGAATGCTAGTATTGCTACTTGAAACATCTGACAGTTTTCAAAATCTGTTAGTCTGTTACTTGACTTGAGACACTGTTTTCTTGTACAAGGGTAAAATTTGTTTTCAGGTGTGTTCTACGCAGACATGAATATATGCAAGCATGTCAGCCGGAGGTGCCCAAAACTGGGGCAATCAAATCCAACAGACCAATAAAAAGATGGCGGTCTGATTTGGAGTGGCAATTGCTTGACCCGTGTAACCTTTATTTTTTTTATTGATAGCAGGGTGCAATTCTTCTACATTTGCTCCTAAGGCGATGTTAGGAACAGTGGCTGTTTAGAGACCACATACAAATGCATATACATGTATAAGTCAAGTCTTACTCTCTAAGCAGAGGTTTAGGCTTCGGATTACATGTATTTTTTTTTAGGTGCTTTAAGTGTTTTTATTGGGCTTTTTTTGGTACAATATACTATAAATTATTTTTTTTTTTGCCAGCCAAATTTTGGGCATGGCATATTGGATACTCCCTGCCAATATTTCTGTCTTGCCAATTTGATACTGTATTGTTATTGTAGCAACCAAGTGATCTGCTTGGAGATTAGTCTAGTCTGACAGAACTGTCTGTAGTGGGAAGTGCTCATAAAAGCCTTAAATTAATGGGATGGCTGCAAAGCTGGCTTTACACTAAAAGTGAATATATACTACAACTAGTAGAAGCTGTAGGGAAAGAAATAAACTTCCCACAACACAACATGCAGTGCTGCTGGGTTTTATACTATGAACATTTTACACTACCGGTACGTCTTTTCAAATTTGGAAAATGCACTTTCTACAAGCTAAGAGTGCAGTTTGCTGTCAAAATCTATATCAAGAAATCATACAAAATGCTTCGAAATGTATATCTTTACAGGCGCAAAATCTAATGTTACGACACACTGTCAAACTCAGTACCATTGCCAATTTCATCAACAAATACCAGCTAGAAATCCTGACAACCTATAATTTTACAGCCAATAGAAAAAGGATTTCCTGTCTTTAATATTCCGTGAAAGATGGGATAATTCACAACGACCCCTATGACCTTGGCATGGCACATGTTCTAATGCGTTTGTCATTGCCACTTAGCAGGGTCGCGCCATCCAGGGCGACAACATTTCAATTATGGCCGCTTTAGGGATGGACTCGGCAATCGCACATTCTTTCCGGAACCACACGTACGCGATTGACTCCATTGGGAATATGTTGTGCCTATTTCAAGAGCAAACCCATGTTCTATTCAGGGTCATACTAGTAGCATGGTAGTACAATGTGACACTTGGACTTAGGGATGTCATCTAGGGACAATGTTGCCACTGGCTGTTTTGCGTGTAGGAACTACATGTTTGCAAGTGGGTGTCACTGGAGGACAGAAGAAAATGTCCACACTATAGGAAAGATAAATGACTACTGTAATAAATACTGGTAGATGTAAAAAATACTGGTGGATGTACCAAATTTATACCAGCTCAGAAGAGACACAGGAAATATCAAGGATTGAGCTGTTCAAAAACTTGTTTCCCCTGACTGGGGTTCAGAAAAAATATTTTGGGGCCCAGAGTGTACTGTGACCACCTGTGTAAATTTGACAAGATAAACACACTCAAGTGTCAAGTGTATACGTCAGCAGGAGATAGTGCACAAGACAAATACAACCTGCATTATTGCCATGTGTGAGGCAAAGTTTATCCCACTTCAACAAGTTCAGTCACTGTCTATTGTCAGACAACTAGTAGGGCAAAGGTAATCTCCTAGCAGATCTCCTGGTGGCTGCAAGACAGTATCAATGTCAGGGATATATGTCATACTGTAAGTCACTTTATGTTCGCAATGGCAAAACTTCGTGGTCTGAAAAAAAAAATGGAGGTGTTCACGTAACTGTGTGGCGGCAGGTACAGAAATAAGACAGTTGGCGAATTATTTGTTAATGGTAATGATAAGTTTGTGGTACACAACTGCGAAAACCGCAAAGTTTAACATAAAAGTACCGCAAAAAAATCAGGAATCAACAATGTATGTAGTATACCACCTGAGAATTGGCTAGTGAAAAAAATATTGGTATGTGTAGAAAAAAAGCCTGATACAAATGCCTAAAAATAAGCTGCTCGGACAGTAGGGTGAAGGTAAGACTGCATATTACACTACCTGGGAGGTCATAAAGAGGCAATACAGGCTGCAATTGTCACCACAGTTGTATTTAACGACAAGTAATTGTCTGGTCTCTGGTAGTTAGAAATATAATTACAGCTATATGGTAGCACATTTCAGGGTGTCAAAAATGTGGCTGTTGTCCAAGTAATGTAAAGAAAATTTTAGCCTTTGCAATTCACCTTATGTTATAGAGCAGAGTGGGCATTGTTTATAATTATTTGATAATTGAGAATTCTGACATGTCATTTACTGTTGTATTGCACTAATAATATGCACAGGCCTTTTTTCGATTTAATACTTCCAATTTAATACTGTCTTGTTAAGTTGTAGCCACCAGAAGATCTGCTTGAAGATTACAACAGTCCACAGTACAGACAGGGACCACCTGTGCTCAGGGGCTCATAAATCATTCAAAACCTGCTAGCTCAGCAGAAACTGCTTCCTGTAATCCCCAACAACAGTGCAGCCTGATCCCAATGTAGGCCATGCACTAACATAACACTAAGGCCATGCCAATCTAATTTGTTGGTTCTCAGATTTTTTCAGAAAAAATATGAAGTGACAGGGCAAAAAAATAGAAAAATAAAAACAGGTCTAGGCATCCTTTTATACCCAGTAGCCCCAAATGCATTTTTATAGAGGGGGTCTTTGCAACTAGATGTACCGGTATGTGCATTGACAACATCGAGCCACGCTGTGATAACGTTGCACTAGTCAATGACTGCAGAACACTGTATCAATGTGTGAAATACAGTCAGAATTCCAAGAGCTGTATATTTACTACATGTATGTACAAATGTACAAATACTCTACATACATGTAGTGACTTACATGTACAAGAAGAGCCTTGGAGGTGATTTTACCTGTACATTCAGGTGGTATTTGCAGCCCTGATATGTAAATGTATAGTGAGTGAGTGAATGAGTGAGGTCCCCCTGTCACATAGAGATGTATCCTATCATCTGGCCTCCTAACCACTGGTAAGCCAACCAGTATTTTTGGTGACAAATTGATGTAGACTGGAGGTCAAGTATACCACAGACATGCTAAACCTCTGCTACTGTGGTGTCACTGATATCCTAACTATGCAGGGGTGGACTTCATTCGTAACTCAAGACCCTGACTGAAGTTTCAAGCGCCAGCAATGTTCAACATTGAGCTTGTGTCACCCATAATACAAAAGACAAGATGTTACTTGTAATTGTGAGCCAGCTAAAGTACTGTGATACCAAAATGGGCGGAGGTCGGATCTCCCCAATGCTTTGGGCCATGTGATTGTGAAGGGTATTTCCAGAGTATATATCCATAACATAGAGTGCTCTGCAGTGTTCTAGCCAGCCTAAAATTTTTTCTGTCATCTCAATTTTGTTTGACGTAATCCTAGGGAGGTCTAGGGGCATGCTCTGGGAAAAAGTTGACATCAGATCTTGACCCTCTGAAACGCTATTTCCTGCATTTTGAGGGGCAAGTTTTGCTGGAAGTGGTATGCTAAACGTAGTTTGATTAAGTCTCTTTTTGTATCTTTACACACCAATTTATGTCTGTCAAAGATGATGAATTTGGAAAAAAAATTTTCCATTATGTACGACAAAATTCTGTCAAATGTTGGTAAGATGGATGCTGGCTGCTCGATGGACACTGGTGCTCAGTATTTACATTTGATTGTAGAGGCCATTGCACTTGTAAGAGACCTCTTAAACACATTTTCCCCCTGCGTCATTTATGCAGTACTGCATCAAGATCATAGTAGCAATTTTCAAAGGGGCAGATGTTGTAATTCACTTTATGTTCACGGTAGAAAAAGGGAGTTGTTCAAAACAGTTCATTTGTTAACAGTAATGATAAATTTGCATTACAGAAGTGACAACTTTGTGAAAACTGCAAACATAATAAAAGTACCACGAACAAAAACAAAAGAAAAAAACAAAATATTTACAGAGGTTAACAGCCTCTTACCTCGTCTTTGGCGTCGACCCCCACCCTGTCGAGCAGGGCCATGAGAGCAGTCAGGTCTCCATGTTCCACACACGTGCCCAGTCCGTGGGCCAGTACACTGCTACTCGCCATGGCTCAACACTCGTACTGCTGTAACAGGGATCGGAAGAAAGGAAACATAGCTCAATCTAGCCTGAGTATCAGCCTTTTTAGCTTTCGTCTGCTCCCCAAGATCCACTTTTGGCTGATAGTGGATCTTGGGGAGCGGATGAAAGCTAAAAAAGCTGACACACAGGCTAAACTCAATCCACTTTCAATCAAGTTTGAGCTGGTCTGAGCTAGTCTAGTCTGCATGCCATCCTACGTAGTTACTGCAGGCTCCCTACTGTTGCTAGCTAGCGACGGTACAAAATGTAGGGAGCCGGCGGTAACTAGGGAGGATGGCACCCAGGCTAGGTTGAAACTAGTGGACATTACAAACTGCTTTAGTATCTAAAACCAGTTCAGAAGAAAGAAATATTCATGCCTTCTAGTACAGTACCAGAGTTATAATACCACGATTGAGGACAGGTATTCAAAAACTTGTTTTTCTCCCTAGAGCTATTACAGAGTGGTACTCAGTCATTGCGACCAAGTACTGCAGGGCATTTTCACAGAAATATCAAAACAATTTTTTTCTGCAATGTGTTATGACCTGGCACTGATTCTTCATGTATGAAATGTGATATGGACGGCTCTTCCTGTCCTGACTGCTGGGATTTCCTGGGAGAAATCAGGGGTTAGCTAAATAATATATAATGCATAACTCACAGGCTTTTACTGTATCATTACTTATTAAGGCTATAAATCTTTGGAGTTACAAGGTGCATGCAATAACACTCTTTCAACAGAGAGTTGCTACAATACTTATCTGTGTTTTTTTTTAACTAAAAGCCTGGAAATCTGTTTTGTTTTCGTTCATGATTTGTACCCACAGCATATGACAAGAATTTCCTTTAACACTGTAATTAAGATAGAGATTTCTGATTGTGGTTATAAAATACGTACGTTAGCAATCAACTGAGTGGCCTTGGTTGAAAAGTGCTCAAGTGAAAATTGTTCACAAGTGAAGAAAATCACCAAGCCTGTCCATTTCAACAACATATTATTATTAGGGCCTCAGCTACAGCTGATACCTAGGCTACATACAGATTTTTTAGAACGGCAATAAACTTAAAAACTTTGAATCCGAATTGGTTATAGCTAACGTTACGTTGTACCAGGATCGGGATACGTACATGCACTGATTGCCATATTATCGCGACACTGATCAGCAGTACAGTATGTTTATAGGGCGTCTGCTATGTACAGGTTTCAAGAACACATAGCGGGATTTTCAAGCACTTCAAGTCGACCTCAAAACCAACTTCTGGCGTTCCCGAACGCCAAATACGTCACGAAAATATTTCCTATGTCAGATCGGAAGTAAAAAGACTCACCTTCGCCAAAGTAGGTGCTAAGGTTTAGTCCGATATGACGAAAATTCAACGCGGAAGAAAAATTCTACCCCGACTCACCGCCATATTGAAAACACTGGCAAGCGACCTCTGGTGACCCGAAAAACTCCCGTCATGCCGCTGCATACCAGCGCAGGTGGAAAGAGAGACGACTAGCGGGCTTAGTTAGTACGACAGTCCTCACTATTTTCAGGTCTGGTGACAGTTCAGTTGGACAGACGGAAAAGATTACTAGAACTCCTTCCTTATCACTGTTTCATCATTGAATTTGTAACATCAACCCGAAGAATTTTCAATGTCAAAGGTATACGCTTTCATCTTTTTGGATACCTGCCACTTGAACAAGGAAACTTTGAGACGCGCCAATATATGTAGTTTCAAGACCCGGTAAACTTGACTTCTAAAAAGTGGTGAAAAGACTTAAATTAGAGCATTCCAGGTTAAATTATCACCCTTTGTCAAAGCCGTTCTACCCAAACCCAAGCAAATTCCAGAACCCGCGTATTTCAACCGTCGTAAAACGGGAGTGGACCATGAGTTGATGCAAGTCGGTTTCCGTGATTAATATCTTGGATAAACTTACTGTCCAACTGATTCGATTTATATCAAACGTAAATTCCAATTGTACAAACATTTCACGCAACCCTACTGCATGTTTTACGATCGATGACGTGCACTCAAAAATTTGTTGTGCATGCGCACTTCCTAACCAAACCAGTGGACGAACGTGTTCCATAATTTCTGACCTTAGCCTAGTCACTGGAGTATCTTGATTTGTATTTACTATTAACTAGAATCTTTAGAATCTTTTGGCTGAAGATAGCTAAAAAGTTCACCAGATATTGATTTGGTTAACGGCTACTACTTCAATGCATGCACGTAGCCTCTACCAGCATACCCGAACTGTTCGGGCATACCCGAACCGCGGACTACACCCCTGGCATATCATCTGTCTGTTTGCCAAATTTCCACTCTTTCCGGGCAAAAAGTACTCTCTAGCGGACCAACTCCCTCGGCATGTTATCTCTCTATTTGACCGATTTCTAGTCTTTTCAGCCGTTCTGAAGCCTGGTAGAGGCTGCGGTCCTCTGACTTGAGTGTCGACAAGTTGTTGTGAAGTTTGGTTTACGGTTTGTTGGCGCCCTAATGAACCGTGTAATGTCGGGTCGTCACTCGGGGAAGACATCTACAGGCTGCCGCTGGCATACAGACGGAGGGGGGCCAAGTGTTTTATAAGCAAGACAAACATGTTAGCATGCCTGGCGTGGTTCCTGACGACACGGACTTGATTTGCGACGGTGAACAGAAGTGCCACCAGTTCAACCGCGACCTACCCAACCCGATTTCCTGTTCTGACTAACGCTAAAAAGACCTGGGAGGCTATTTTAGCCTCTACCAGGCTTCAGAGGCACGAGTTTGTGTACTCTTGATCAAGAGTTGACTTTGTGTGTTTGGAGTTGACTTGATGTACTTTTGAGTTGACTTTTATGTACCAATTATGTTATGTCCACTTTAACGTTGTATTAAGTTTTTAAGTTCAACTAGTTGGCTGGCCAAACTCTCCCAGGGCCCAATTCCTCCGTAGCGGTAATTTAGATAGGAGGGCGAAGCCTCGGGCTCTTGGCTGCCGAAGGAAAACGGCTAACGGCCCGATACTAGTCTAGTACCCAGGGTAGCCAACCACAGTCGACCTTGCTGCTCCCGCCTTGCTCCCGACCATGGTGTTTAGAGTTCGGTAGTGTTCGGGAGGCCATATTCGGCTATGTGTGACAGGGGGTTTAGGGGGTCATTTGGGTCCTGACAGGAAAGTGTACCGTATACTAGTATATCAAGGTAGCACTAACAACGTCAACAGTAGCATGTGTGGTCCAGTGGTTAATGATCCCGCTTCAGGACCAGAGGGTCAATAGGTCGAATCACGACCGTTGTCACTCACTCAGACAATCTGGCATGCCATTGATTGTTGAGATTGTCAGTTGCGTTCCATCGTTCATTATGCTTGTCATAGCAACCCGTCCTCTACATTGAACCTGTATAATGTCTAGCTATAACGTCCGTAGTAAACTTTGCTTTGGATCGAGATATGTCTTTTGGCGGCACAACTTTAAAAAAAGGCAATGACTTTCAAGCCACTGCAGGCTTGTTGTATCCAGAACTGTGCTTTATCGAGAATCCGAGTGCTCAGGCAAGGTTCTGGATAGTCCACGCGTCTCCAGAAGACAAGAACCATGCCTGTGGTAAGTCTATGTTCTTGGATATACGAAGACTATTTAGAACCGTGACTGATCCTAGCTTGTACTAACCCATTCAGCCATAGACTAGATAACAATCTCCTTTGTACATTGAACCTGTATAATGCATGTCTTGTATATTCCCGTCTTTGTCACAAAATGATCCAAAGTTTACTACGAACCATCCCTCCAATTGTTGTGACAAGGACGGATTCAAGATATGTCTCTGGTGGCACAACGTAAAAAAGGCTGTTACTTTCAAGCTACAGACCCATGATTGTAATCTAGAAGCAGATCTTTTGGTGGCTGTAAAGACAGTATCCATTCGTGCCGGACATCTACCATAAAAAAGATACCAATACAAAAAAGAAAGTCCGACAAAAGCGCCTAAAAACACGCCTAAAATAAGCTCAATCCTAAACCTCTGCTTGAAGGGTATCATGACTGAATAAAGGTTATGTAACACCTTATCTAGACTCAGATTGTGTGTCAGTCAGAAGAACTTGGAACAGGCGAAGTTCAAAAGTTCAGGTCAGGCCGCTGACAGCTGTTGTCTGTCCGAAGAAGACCTTGTTGCCAACCTTCCGTCTCTTCTGATTCTCCCCAGCTCAACCTGACATTCCTTGGCTGCTGAATGTTTCCCAAGTTCTGCCAAACGAACCATGACATGTTTCTCAGATGATGTCAAACTAACCGTGACACTGTAGACTTAGGAAATCAGAACGGGTCACAGGTTAAAAGGAATGTTGGAAATGAAAACACATTAATACTTTGCAGGACAGGGGAAAGGGACTGGCGTCTTTCTATCTAACGCTCAGTCCTTGCCAACGTGACGTTTAGCAGGGTGGATTTCTGGTTGATTCTTCCTTATAACGTGGTCTCTGCAGCGAGCAAGGCAGTCTTATCACAGCTTCAGAAGAAGTCCATGCACAGAACGTAAGTATTGTCTATAATATGACATAAGCTTGTACAGAGACTTAAGGTTAGGCTGTTGTATCCAGAGCCGTGTTTTATCCACAACTATGCTCAGACACGGTTTTGAGCAGTCCACGCGTATCCAGAACGCAAATCTACGTTCTTGGATACGTTGAGACTATTCATAACCGTACCTGATCCTAACCCTAAACCTTTCAGGCATAGAACTAGATAGACAGGGTAATGTGTACGATTTTACTTTGAGATGAATAAGGGTTACTAAGACGGTTTAGGCGCCCACACAAGAATATGTTGAAGCTTTTTTCCGGGCTTATCAAGGCTACATGTACGTGCACGTGTGAGAGACATAACGCATTGTGTTCGGTGGAAAACACAAGGAAATGTAAGTTACTTAAGGTCTTGCTCCTTGTCAACCTTCTGGCTCTAAAGACATCCATAAAGTCAACTTTTTAATCTGTTTTTCCGGTGAGTGGATTCAACTCCCGTAAACCGTCTACCGGCTAGAGGAAGCAGCTGATACTTGGTTTACCACAAAACCTTCCTATCATGTTTAGGTTCGCCTGGATGCCAGACTATTCCCAGGGCCAGGCCAGTCCCCAGTTAGACCCTGTGACGTCCAACTGAGGCCGGGGGAATGTTGAACAGTTTCCTTGGGACATGTTGGCCCTGGAGCTGAGGAGTCAGAGGAGCTAGCCTACCTACTGGCCCTGGTAACGGTCTGGCACCCAGGCTGCTATTGTGTTTGGGTTGGTACGGTAGCTAGAGCTACGCCAGTGGTCAGATTCTAAAAACACGGTAGCGGTGAAGTCGACATAGACGGTTTGAAACGGCAAGTGGCAGTCCGAGACAAAGGTAGGTCTTTTCCAGGCTGTTAGCGTAGCCTCTAACAGACTGAAAAGAGTAGAAATAGGCCAGGTGTTAAAACAGATAACAGGACAGGCGAGTTGGTCCACTAAAGGAACAGAAAACTGTACTAAACGTTTGATGAGCAATAGACCTCTGCGAAAGTCGTACATGTGATCTGTTTCTTCTTCATCTGCAGCTGAGAGCAAGTGTTGAAAGCTCATTGCTGAAAGGAAGACCGTTATTTTGTTCCGTTGCAAAAATAAGTCACTGAAATGGCTTCGAAAAGACTTGTCCTTTCTGTGACAACTGTGCTTCTGTGGAGCTCCACCGTGCTGGGTGACAAGAACATAACGTCCGCTCTGCCAACCAGCACTACTACTGCGGATAGACACGGTCTTCACACCGACAGTTTCACAACACTCGTCCCTGGACAGGGGTACACGTCCTATTACATAACAGAAAACTCGCCAAGTGTCCACATGCACACGCCTTTTCCAACGACTTCAACGCTTCAACCAAACCAAAAGCAAGCCGGTTGCAAAATCCGGGTCCCCCGGCCGAACGAAACGGCGAGCCTGCCCTGTCCTAGCCCGATCACCGTAGACCACGCGGTCAAAATCACCCACATCGCCCTCTCTGCGGTCATCTTCCTGCTCGGTTTGACCGGTAACGCGCTGGTCATCCGGATTGTCGCCACCAAACCGGACATGAGGAACGCACCGAACGTCCTGCTGGCCGGGCTGGCTTGTGGGGATCTCCTGTTCGTCTTACTGTGCGTCCCGATCACCGCCTACAACCTGTACACGGTCCCCACGGCCTGGATATTCGGCCCCGCCGTGTGTAAACTGCTGCCGTTCCTGCAGCAGACGTCTCTTGGAGTGACGGTCTTGTCACTGATGGCACTGAGTGCGGACAGGTAGGTGTTGTATCAAGAACCGTGCTTTATCCAAACCATATGATGCATGCTCTGGGTACCGGTTGCCGTTACAACTAGAAGAAAGGTTATAACATTACATAATACATGTTTAATTACAAGGTAAGTAGCATGCGTAGCCCAGTGGTTAGCGATCCTGCCTCTGGACTAAGAGGTTGGGAGTTCGAATCCCGGCTGATGTCGCTCACCCGACATGCACGCTACTGTTTAGGGTCGCAGTCCTTCGGACGGGACGTTAAGCTATGGTCCACTGTTCATTGTGCTTGTCGAAAAGAGCTAGGGGAATTTCCCCGGCACAATGAATCGGTAAATACTGTACATAGTCTCTGTCTTCTCTGTCACGACCAGTGGAAGATTAGCTCTTCAATGATGAGCTAAACTGGTTCGAGATCACTTTCACTTTTAAGACTTGCATTAAACACGTTCTCATCATACCGTTGTTTTAACGCCAGGTACACGGCGGTGGTGTCCTCCACCATGAGCCGGTTGTCTCAGAGCTGGCGCGGGCTGGGCGTGCGGCTGGCGCTCATCTGGTCCCTGGCCGTCCTGGCTGCCGTCCCCGCCGCCGTGACACACACAACCCGCCGGGTCAGGTGGCACCACGGGTACATCACCGTCTGCGGCATGGACCAGGTGGGTTCAGTTCGGTTCATCCTCAGCGAGGTGATACCAGTTTCTCCACAACTACTTGTGAAGCATACAGAACGAAGCTCTTGGCTCCGTCGGGGTGGGCCAGCCTGTTCTCTAATGCAGATGTTTCGGTGGCAAGCAAAGTCGTTACAAATTGGCAAGGCCAAGACACTATCCAATACATGTAGTTCCCTATTGTATCCAACCTAATACTAACTTAGGGTTAGGTTCAGGCAAACATAGATTTGCTAAAATCACGGTTCTGGATACATGTGGACTATCCAGAATCGCACATGAGCATGGTTCTGGATAACTTAAATACAGTTATGGACGCAGCAGTCACCGATTGGGCCGACTGCCAGAAAACGGACCATAGACGATAGAAGTTTATAAGGTCAAATCAACCCCTACAAATGGATGTTTTGTCCCGTTTTTTTTACAATGATAACCTAAAGTAAAGCTGGGTTATCGGCATTCATTTTTACCAGGAAAGTCCCTTCGCGCGGACGTACCAACGAACGAGGGTGTGGCTTCGCTTCGCCCTGTACTTCTGTCTCCCCCTAGCGGTCACGGCGGTGCATTACAGCCTGATGGCCAAGCACATGATGAGAGTGGACCGTTTACACAGGGTAAATGAGAACGAGAATCTACATTATTTTACAACGCTATTGTGTCTTTTTGTTGATAGATACTTTTGAAATTGAGGGTAAGGATTACCATTAGTTTAGCTCTTGACATTGTAATACCAATCTTATATGAGCTCGAGACTGCACCAAGATATGTAGCCCTTTAATATGTGGAAAGAAAAATGCGTGTATATTGTGTACGTTTGAGTTAAGAAAATTAAGTTACCTATCTGCCATCCAGTGAGTGAGTGAGTGAGTGAGTGAGTGAGTGAGTGAGGCACAGCCAACAAGAATAGTATTTTCGCCCAATCCCCTTACATTAGACGTGGAGATATATGTAACGAGTTATATCATCCGTTATTTCATCCAGAATACGCGCGGGATGGACGACCGCATGTCGAAGCGCCGCCGTGCGGCCAGAGTGGTGCTGTGCATCGTGGCGCTGTTCGCCCTGTGCTGGCTGCCCTACCACCTGACTAACATCCTCCGCATCACCCTGCCCTGCTCCGTACTGCAGAACATCTGCACGTTCAGCGCGCTCCAAGGTAAGGTGATTCCTAACCATACTTACTGCCATTTTTGTTACTCCGTGAAGGAGGTCAGGACCTCCGGACGGAGTGGTGTGAAGAGCTGATTTTTCGTGTTCGCAGTCAAAACACTGGGTTCTCTTTGTGTAATCGGCACGCAATTTTATACGCCGTCTGCGGGCATGCCCGTGTTGATGCACGAATGTGTATTTTTGCCGTTGCTGCTTTCGCAGTCAATGTAATATTGCAGACGCACCCCTACAATTACGAGGCGAATTGGAATGGCGAGTTGAAATATATAAAACTTCACGGAGGATTGTCACCTATGGCTTCTTGTTCAAGTTAGAATCATAATGATTGATAAATTCTGATGATATTTCGCATTTGAATAAGAGGAATAACGTTACGGATAAAAGTGAAAAATCTGCAGTCTGTACTAACATGAAACAATATTACACAAGAAATTGTTACTCAAGCTACTGGATGGATTTTAAAAACTGTTTCTTGCAGCATTCACTACTTTTCGTGAGTGAATACCTGAATCTGTACGTAGTTGAACAGGTATATGGATTAAAAAACTATGAATTGGTATGTAATTGAAGTGAAACAATCCATAGGAAACAAAAATGAGTCAACCGAGACAAATTAATGCCTGCATGCCTTACCAATGTTACATAACGTAATGTGTGCCATGTTGGAGTACATTGTTCATCTGTTAAACGCACTAACGTGCTGCAGCTGTACTCCAACATGGCCGCCGCAGGATATGTTCTGGAAACGAAATGGAAAACGTGTTTTCTCGTCCCCATATTGACCCAGGTTTATTGTAAACTAATTGACGGTCCCACCTTCTCTTTGCAGGCGGGATCCATTTCGGGTTAGCCCTGGGCAGCTTCAACTCCTGTGTGAACCCCATCGCGCTGTACATCCTCAGCAGAAAATACAAGATCTACATGGATGCCCTGCTGTTCTGCTGCTGCTCGCAAGGTGGCGACGAGCTCCTGGATCCACGTCGCGGCAGTATCTGGACGTCCCGCCATAGGCCGTCCTGTGACGTCACCAGCATGTCCGTTGCAGCTCGTCTACTCCGCCGCCAGGAGGCGTTTGCGAACGAGAGTACCAGATCGTCGGGTTTGGAGATGGGGAGTCAGGCGGGTGACAGCTCTGAAAGGAACTCTTCCGTTGTTGCCGACTAATATTTGAGTGACATAAACCTACAGGTAGTCTCAGAACTATTAAAGTCGGCTTACAGATGTTTATGCGGGCTGATACAGGTTAAGGTTCTACCATGATCACAACTCGTGGGCAGAATGTTCTGTCTCCACCAGACTCCTTTTGCAGGCTGAATAGATAGTAGAAATCGATCGGCCTAAAAAGGGACATCATTGGCCAGAGGAGATGGCCGCCGATAGAATCTCAATTTTTGATGTCCCTTTTTAGGCCGATTTCTACTATCTATTCAGCCTGCAAAAGGAGTCTGGTGGAGACTAACAAAACCGCAAGGGTTGGCAAAACGTCTCGATTAAGGTCGCATTCACGTATTTAAGGATGACATCCAGTATGTACATGTAGTTTTCAAACGTTGTGTTGGAAAAGATGCCGTCCGCAACAGGCAAGTTTCTGATGTAAAAACATCAAAACCATGAAATAAATTAAAGTTCGGGTTTCGTACTGGCGCAGTACGTTCTGCCGACGTGCCGGTCAATATTGAGTCATATTATTTGCCAATGGGGGCAATAAAAGTATTTAAAGTGTGCGCTTATGTAACCCCCTTTGGGACATTCTGTGACAAATAGTTCAACTGAAATACAATATGCACAAGTCATCAATATTCACAATTCTACAACATAGACTTAAATTGACAATCTTCATGCATTTTTCAGTATATTAATTATGATTCACAATTTTTACATATTATTTGCAGGACATAATCATTATGTTTGATATCATACTGCTGTTCACGTGTTGGACAGAATGATCTTATCTAAAATTTATCTTTTGATTTAACATCAACTGATTCAATCGTAATTCCGATGTAACAACAATGAAGTACTGGTGTTGTAAGTAATAGTCTCTTTTTAGTTGCTCCGTATTTCAGAAGTATTATAATAAAGGACAGAACGAAAAGTTACACTGTTGTCCAGTACGTAATTTACTTTGGTGTACAAATTAGCAACGTATATGTTTACCAAAGATGTTTACCGGGTAGCGAACGCCACAATTTGTCTGTATACAATGTCTGTATCGTGACGTGGTCAGCGATGTTCCATAGAACGTCTTTCTTTTTGTTCCATAACGACTGATTCCGGACTTCTCCGTTGTAACTTACATGTTTGGTTGACCGTCACAGTTGAAAACCCACTAGTAGCGTGCTTTGTTCCTACACCTTGTAACAAAACAACTATTTTACTTGATTTCTTGTACAAAGGAAGCTTAGCGATGGACGAAACACCTTCACGGATAAAAGTAAAAGGTAGGGTCGTCTCTGTTTTAATATATTTCGTAAAAGAAGATTTCTTATTTTCGTTAGAGATTTATCCTTTCTACATGTGTGTATGTTTGTGTGTGTTTGTACATGTGTGGAGCAAATATGTGTATCATCATGTGTATTATTTGATTGTTTGTTTGTTATTATTTATTGATTATCATTATGTGATACCCTGCATCAATTCAGCCGTATAAAGGCTGCGACTGCACGGCTACTGTTTGGCCAATAAAAACCATTTTTTAAATCCGTGATTTTCGTTCGTTTACAAAAAGACAAGTTTTCGACAATACTGTAAATCGTAAAAATAAAGCAGATGCAAAAGAAGCAAATATATGACAATCATTAAGAATATATTGGAAAAAGGTTATTTAGGTTGGAGAATGCTAAACCACTTCCAAAGTAAAGGAAGAAAACGAGAAGAAGTAACTGGTAAGTGTATTATTCGCCATGTCACATTGGCAATTTCTTCGACCTTCATGACCACGTAGATTTCGTGATGAAGGCAATTTTTTGCAACCTTTTTATTCGCACGCGCGCATCAGTTTTGGGGTTTCCAGAGAATGTCATCCATAGAATCCAATCATCATGGCCTAACTCTACCAACAATCCACAGTTCAATCTCTAAGAATTTTGTCATCTCCTGTTTTTTTTAGTCAGCCCTCTTTGTGACCAAGCAACCGTGGAGAGTCCAGAGGAAAATGTCGTGACACAATACCAACCGGTAAGCAAATGGAATACATTTTCTTACGTCAATGATCTGAAAATATATACAATTCGAGTTGATAAAACCATGAATTGAAATACTATATAATAAGTATACCTTTATTTTCATAATCAATAAAGAAAAGAAAAAAGAAAAAAATTCAAAAATGCTGAATACTGAAGGTCTGTGTGTGTGTGTGTGTGTGTGTGTGTGTGTGTGTGTGTGTGTGTGTGTGTGTGTGAGAGAGAGAGAGAGAGAGAGAGAGAGAGAGAGAGATTTTATTAAATGTTTATTTCGGTTACAGACAATTTTCGATGCACTCGTGGATACAGAGGCCCAAACTGGCTCAGAGAGACGAGACACAGGCGATCTTTTGTCGACGCGACCTCAGAAAGGATGGAATTACGTCAGGAAAGGCAAACTTCAGACTAAAGAACGACCGTACAGCAAGGACACCAACGCGCGGAAACAACAAGAAGTCAGTTTTGGGCCGCATGCTCGAACCCACATCTTTTCATTCAACAATTATAATAAATAAAACTAAAAATTATTACGGGGGTATGTAATCTCTTGTTTTAGACGCACCCAAGGCAAACTCAGGCGGCAAAAGAAAAAAAAGATGAGGAAATATGTCTATTATTGAAAATAACTGTTTGGGCTGGCGTTAGGAGGGGCATCCAGCCGTAAAAAAAACTTGCTTCCAAAAAGACTTGCACTTGATAGAGAGAGAGCCTTTAAGGTGTTGTACCTTGCAGGACCGCATGGCAGAGCTTAGACACGATGCGGCTGCCAGGCCGCGGGAGATACGGCTGATCAGACAGACGAGCGGCGGGCTGGCCTTCGACGTCCCCCCGCCCGTTTCAACTCGTAACGCCGGCAGGATGTTTTCTATCAGGGACGCTATCGAGGCCAGGCGGCAAAAAGTTGCCAAGAAGAGAGCAGAGACGAGGGAAGAGTTTGACATCATGTTGGAGACAGCGGAGAAAAGACGAAAGGTCCATTAAAAAAAAATTATTTTCATTCATCTTTATCATTATTCCCCACGCTTGACCTGGTAGTTTAACCCGCTAGCTCTTCCAATGCACAAGGAAATTGTTACTCAATCGACTGGATTGGTTCTGAAAACTGTCTGACGTTTCAAGTAGCATCCACTACTCATCGTCAGTGACTAGACTGGGCAGTGACTAGGCAGTCAATGACAAAAAGTAGTCGATGCTACTTGAACCATAAAACAGTTGTCAACACCTATATCCAGGTGCTTGAGTAACAATCTATCTGATTACTTGGATGTCCAAAATCATCGACAGCTCTTTTGTTATGTCATTCAGACCTGTACAGGGAACCGGCTGTGTGTGAAAAAGACTCCCAAGCGCCCCAGCCCGGTGTATTACAACCAGGAGATGACACCCATAGAGACGGAGGCACTGAAGCGACACCGCAAACTTCACCCCCAGACGGACTTCCAGCTCTTCTCCTTCTCCCCCAGTCCCAAACCCGTCCACGACACCATACGTGGCTGGGGGCTCGGCGGAGTCGCCGATAACGTCACTGCAGAGCCTGCTCCTCCTTCTACCAACTCTCCTCACGCCACATGCCACACAGGGGCGCCGCCTAACGACACGAAGGAGCATTACAGACGCGCTTCTCGCGAGCACGTCTCGCCACTTCGTCCTCGCGATACTTGCAGCCCCACGAGATCTGCATTTCGCAACTGGAGACAGAAGAACGACGCACTTGGCAATAGTAGTCCGTCCTCCCCAACAAGCTCAGTGGGAGAATTCGACTATGAGTCAGACTTTGAGGACAATGGCGATGATTTTGGTGATGCTTAATAAAGTAAAAAAAAAAGGAGGTCGATGACTTGGTTTGAGTATGAGTTTGGGTTGTCAGAAATGTGCTACTGTATATAGTTTGACTTTTATTTTGCTGGTATGTAAACCAAATTGTGTTTCATTTACCGTATCATAATCTGTGCATTTATTGAACCACCACAATCACGTTGATTTGGTAATGGTGGCACTTTTTGGCCAAACTTTTTTATTCGCACGCTCGCATGATCGCATCAGTTTTGGGCTTCCCAATGGATGTCATCCATATTCGTCAAATCAAAAAAGCTGCAGGAATGGGTCATAGAACTCTTGCTTTGTTGTGATTCCTGTTTTCCTATCTTCTGCTTACTTTCTGTAACTAAATAAATGTCATCTAAGCTAAACAAAACAATGATACTGTGATGAACCGTCCAACTATTCTAGAACGCCATTTAGAACTGAAGTCTCTAAATATTAACAATCCAAATACAACCCCAGCCCCAAAACAACACAGAATAATTAGAACTACCATTAAAAGCTTCATACATTACAACTATGATGTGGACCGCAGCTGCATAAAAAAGAAATTGAAAGAAATTGTCCAGAAAGATTTTACAAAATATTATCTTCTACAGCAAGAAATCCGAGATGGCGCATCATAGGGTTCCAGAATACCTGTTCCTGAACCTGACCGGAAATTACGTCATAGAAGGTTGTTCAAGGTAACAACGGGTTTGTTGTTGTTTACCAGTCACAATCGGTTCACGAGAGAACCTGCAAGACGTGCTGTTTCATTTCCTGTGAAGCCACAGGCCGAAAAACAGCGTCTCTTCTGACAATTTCTGCGATATTTTGGTCGAGAATTGTCAGTGAGTTGTAGGGAAGACGCGAGAATCTTGAAGTAACGATGCAGGCCGCTAGGGCGGCGCTTTCAGTCGCCGCGAGGATCTGTCCCAAACCTGCACCGTCCACATACATTAGACCTGCCGCAGGTAAGGAAGCCTAGGTATCGTCTGTGTTTCTAACTTAAGTCTTCCAATCCAGGTTTAGTTTTGTACAACACTGGGCATGACTACACAGCATAGCATTCCACAAGCGGTCATTGGTTTGGTTGTAGGCATTTTCAGTGTTAGAAAATTATTCATACTTTTGAATGATGACGAAAATATGCTAAGGAATGGCATTAAATGCCAACATTATACAGACTTCCTCATTCAGAATATTATTTTGTTTGCTGTCCTGAAATTGTACTGGATGCCTGGCTAATAATGATGTAGACATTGGCAAGACGGTAGATTGTAATATTGTAGGGTATCTTGATGTTTTGTCTTTCTTTTCGACGAATTCTTCATCAATGTTCGACCCATGTCAGGCATGGTGCTTGCGCACACTTCCCCACCACACCCTAGCGGTTCTAAGCAGAACTGCCTCCGTCCGGACATGCCGTACCAGACCGGCTATACGGGGTGGAGCGGACTGGACGTGGGGCTCTTCATCGCCGCGGGCGTCCTTGTCACTGCCGGGCTGTATGAGGTGAGGGTTTTTCTACATTTCACCTCCTCACAATTACATTAGCTAGAGATGCCCTTGCTCCTGACTAAGGCCACAGCAAGTTAATCTTATGGATGACATCCTCCGTGGACTCCAAATCTAATGCGATAAGGCGAAAAAAAAAGACGCGCCCCCAAAAAGATTCCTACATTTTAAAATTTCGACATCACAAACCTTGTTAAACAAGAAATGATACTTATATGGTGCGACGTATTCTGTTCTACAGAACCGTTGTAGGGCAAGCCTTGCCTATCCCATCCACGAAACAACTGACAAAAACTGAAAAAGGCACCAAATTTTCTATAAGGCACCAAAGTTGTCTATAACTTAACAGGTGGTTTCGAATAAAGAACTTTGCCATTCAATCATTCACCAACCTTGTGAAGTTTTTCACTTATATTTCTATATCTATCAGTGCAACAAGGCTCTGCAGACCACGCACACGCCGCCTATAGTGCCCCCTGCCCAAGGTGTTCACTACGTGCCGTCAGACATCAGTCAGTACACGGGTCTGAACCTCGCACCGCAGGCACCACAGGCCCCGGCCGGGGTACTGCTCAGGCGCGTCAGCGTTCCTGTCGGAAATAACGCCACGACCGATTGGAAAGTAGCCGAGAGCGAGATTAGAATTGACCAGAAAGACCAGCGAGTCTGCACCAAGTTTTATAAGTCTACTGAAAGTACCGACAAAACTACGTCTGCCGAGAAGACCTGCAAGTGTTCACGGGATGCCTCTGACGAGACACGGATGACTGGCGGGGGACAAGTCTCCGAGAGCGACGTTGAGAAAGTCCAAGACTTCTGTGGGAACGACGTCACCTCTGACGTCACTAACAGCCGTGCCGACGAGGAGGAGAGGGAAGATGACGTCGGGAGCAGGACGGACGAGACGCGTCCCCGACGCGCTGACTTCACACAGGCAGAAGTCCTCGCAGTTACCGCATGTCCGGTCCGGCACGAGCTCAGCGCTGCTACACGAGAGGCGATCGGCTCCACCCATCACGATACAGACAAGACGGACTCTGAGATCAGCATGGAAGAGTTCCTGTCCGAGGACGTTTTGTGAGTTTATTAGTTGTATATATTTTCTTAGTATGTAACGTAGTAGATTATATAATAAAATTAACGTCAACCGCCTAAAGTATATTGCAATTATATTTTGCTTTATGCATTTGAAATTTCACACTAGTTAGTTTGTGGTGCCACCACAAACTAACAGAATGTAAACAAACGTGGCTGACAGCTGTGTTTCCAGTTTTCAATCACTCCTGTAAGGCGCCATATTTTGGCACCTCCACGTTGTGAATGGCACTTGCAATGAAGTAGGGTTGATTCAAGTTACTATGTGAAGAAATGGTCGCAAAAAAATTACTTTATTATCGTCCTTATGTTGCATAATGCAGCTTTAACAGTGAGCAGGAGAGCGCCAGCCTGTCCCAGCCCGTCCCCGTGAGTCCACGGCTTCAGAGGAAGCTGAGATGCGCCGTGCTCTACGCCGAATGGCGGGAAGACAGCCAGTACTGTTCCCCAGATGACGTCACGACCAACCAGAAGGTGCGTTTCTCCTGGTTCGGACAGGAGGACGACCACGACCTTGATGACGTCAGCGAGGTCAAGATCTACTGCGCGGTTCTTGAAGGCGTGTGGAGAGAAGACGGTGGTCTTGTGGAGAACCACGTGACCAGAACGGCTGGTGGTGATGACGTCATGGAGCCGTACTACCCTGGACACGGGCACAGGAACAGCATCCAGTCTGGGAACGAGAACTGGATCTGAAGAACGTCCAAAAGCCTCCGACGTGTCAAACACAATAAGCAACTCCATCCGACTAGTTCTTTGTATCATGTCTTATCTAACGCGTAAAGATTAGGCAGAAAGTTAAAAAGTAAATGCTTCTTACCTGTAACACAGGTCATAAAAATTACAACTCAGTTGGGCAACCACTTTTGCACCTTGATAGTGGATCATATATTTGAGGGTTAATGCAGACAATGAATAAAGTCATATGACATGATATGAATGATGAAGGAATATAAATATTCAATATCATGTAACGTTGCATTTCTGGTTATTATCTTATTAGTACAAGTGCTTATAGGAAGAGAAGAAAAGTTTTTTAAAAGACAATTTATCGTATATACCCTTGAAGAATCAGCTGCAGTTGATCAGCCTGAACAAACCTTTATTCAATCGACATTCAATTAACAAAAAGCTTGAAATATTAAGCTGGATATAACATTTAATAAAAAAAATGAGATGTTGAAAAATGAAATCCGCTGACAAAACGTTCGACTAATTTCTGGTCCTAACGGAACGTAATGTAGTTACAATTCTTTCTTCATTAATAACATCAAACACATTCTCATGGTTTGAAATAGGAAGTTATGCTGTAGGCTCAAAGAAATGCACGGTATGAATTAAAGATCTGTTCATATATGAAGGAGCTACCACACTAATGAGTATCGCAAACTGAGTAATAAAGGATATAAAAATTACATAAAATTATATGTGATATTCAAACTGTCAGTGTAATAAAGGTCCATAAAGGCTCTCTTTGTTCAATTTGTTCTTTAAACAGGCTCTGCCATCTCATTGTACAGGGCATGGGGTTTCTATTAGCGCATGCGTGTAGAGTGCCGGGTGGAATATAGTACCGGATATAGACCATTAAAACATTAAACTTTTTCATTGAAAATTTGGTGCCTTTTTGTCAGTTTTGTGCTGAATTGGATAGGTAAGGCTTCATACTCACTGAATTTGACACAAAAATGTCAAATTATGGTATGGTATAAGTTTGAGCAACAATAGGCTGAGCTAGAGAAGTAGTTTTTTTTCTGCTAGGACGTGTGACGGTAATAATTATGCTATTGCTGTGCAAATATTACCTTTCTAGTTATGTTAACCGAAGGAAAACATATTGTTTTTACTCAGTTTCTTCCTCCTCTTCTGTTCCAAACACTAACCTCTGACCTGACCAATGACATAATTTATTGACGTCTGTCACCATGGCGACTGGTGTAGGGTTACATAATGTTGCAATTTCATGGTCTGCTCCTGTCACAACATACTCGTAGTACATGTATGTGAATGTGAATGTGTTTGAGTAAAAATTAACAGAGCAGATCATGTCCGAAGGTAAACATTATACATTTGCTTTGCAAATGTTACTTCTCCAGTTAAATTAGTTTCTCGCAAACGTAGAGGTGGCGAGAGCCGCACGGGGCGTCGTTCCACTGTCCTTTGTACCTCTTTTTCCCAAAAATCCAATTCTTGCCGTTCTGTTGATAGTTGAAATGGTACAATTAATGTAATGTTGAACATTAATTTGTTTGGTTGTTTGTTTGTTTCGCATAGCCGGTAAACAGCCTTTAATTAAACTAAATCTAGAACTAAGTCATCATCTTGATTTTACAATAACTTTTGATCATGTGTATCCAACATCTTTGTTTTTCTATTACTTTGTGTCACATATCTCATCTGTATTTCCTATATATAATGGATTCTTTTTGCTAATTTTTCCTCACATAATGTGTGGTAGCGTTGAAATAAGTCTTAGACACTTGAGTGCGCTACTACTTTGTGTTGTACTGTGCTATGCGATATGAACAATGAAAAAACTTTAGTGCTGCTTTCCTAATATAAATAATACATTTCCACAGTACATATTCCACTAAGGTCACACCATTTTAATTTCTTGGTTAACGTATTCGCCCGCTTTTTCTGATTAAAAAAATCAGAATCAACTGCAAAATGCTCATATTTTGCCCTGAACAGTTGAAAATTGTCCTTTTCTTCGTACTTGTTACAGTTATTCCATCTTTCAATGCAGTGGTATCAATAAATGTTAAAAATTCATTGTTTGAATTTTGAACCAGCCTGGTGGCTCCTATCGTACCATTTTTGGCCATAATATGATGCCTAGGCCTGTTTTTATTTTTAATTTTTTTTCGCCCACCCGCTCCATTATTTTTCTAGAAAAATCCGTCAACCAAGAAATTTACATAAGCTTTAGCAATCAAACCTCCTTGCTTTATACTATTCTGATAGAAAAAAGAGGCACAGACCTTGTTATACACACCGGCACAGTTCTCTCTCTTCACGGGGCCATTGTTAGGCTCTCCCGGAGCCCAGTTCTTGTAGTTATATTTAGGGCGTGAACCGTCTTCCCACTGCCATTGTCTACGCGTCTTATGTAGTCCCATCCAGACTGATGGACCTTTACCTACAGGTGCTGTAATTAAATAAACACATGTTTGCTTTATGGCGAGGGACTGTGCTTTTTGTGTGACTCATATTCACACTCATATTCACAAAGTGGATACAAAAAAATACCATTCATGGCTCCAACAATGATATGCAGTCGCCATTGGTTAAAACAAGAAAGTTCAATTCTGAATTAAAGCTCCTTGGCTAAACGACAAATATCTTATTTTCGTGCCGCCGCCGTCGTTTTAAGAGCGAAGAATGTCCTAGGATGAACTCTTCAAGATGTTTATACATATATGTTTTACTATGTAGTGATAAGAGTCTAAGACACATTTACAGTAGAATAAAGATGAGTCGGGTATAGAAAAGAGACGAAAAACGTTTTGGATTGTTCTCACATTGACAGAAGCATCCTGTCTCTACTTGCCACATGTCTACTGTTACCAATTCCTTCAAGATCACTAAATGACCACAAAGTTATTCCTGCAAAGTCTTAACCATCCATGTACGAAAATAAACTGTACATATGACCCACCACCCAAGATGAGACTTGTGATGAATTTGTTCTCGTGCACGTCGTTGATGGTGACCAGATATGCCCCATGGTTTGTACATCGTGATCTTGCTGTAAACCAACTGGCTTTGTCCTTCATCAACTTATAGCAGTGGCTGTTGTATTCACTCCATCCATTTTGACAGGCTGTAACAAACATTCAATCAATCAATCAATCAATCAATCAATCAATCGACTAATCTTTATCAAAAATCAACAGGCAGCAGAGTACAAAAATATACGTGGATTTTTGCAAACATTTTCTTACAATGTGTTATAAGCTACTTATGTAATGTACATTTTATATTACTCAAGAACATGAAAGAGTTTAGTTCCAATATGCATACGGTTACAATTCGATACAGCCGCACCGAAGTTGATTTTGTGATTTGAAGCTATTGTAGATTTGTGTTCACCATTTCTTTCACACAGCATCCAAGTTGGCAATGACTTTTTGTACACTTACTCAGGTCCAGGTGGGAAAATGAATGACGAAGAAAAACGATAACCATCGTCAATTGTCAGTAATTTAGAAACACCATCGCAAAATAGCTAACTATGGACACAAGTCACACAATTTGTAGCTCGTTCGGGGATGTGTGAGGAAATAAATGAAAAAACTAGAAAGGCCAATATTTGCTTTGGAGCAAATACAGCGATGGGTTCACCACATTTTACGACATGGCAGGGAAAGAATGAGAAACACAAGGGAAAACAATGATTTACATTGATATAACTATAATATGAAGTAACATACAACTAAAACAACAGTCTATTCCCTACTTTATTGGTTAGGATTTTTAATTGCATAATGCAAACTGTTGATTTTCAAAAAAAAAAAACGTCCATGCCCCGCATTCCAATGCTGGAGCAGAAAAGCTTGAAATACCTACCAAAACACTTGAATAAAGACATACTGTCAGTATGGAAATGCTCTGTGCAGGTGTTAATCAAGTTAAATCCCAACAGCCAATCAGCAAGAAATGCTCTGTGAAGGTGGAAATGCTCTGTGCAGGTGTTAATCAAGTTATATAATTAAATCCCAACAGCCAATCAGCAAGAAGTATAGAGGAAAGCTGCATGCCTATTGGTTGATGCCCTGCATTCCATTGTGATGACTCATGCCCAGACGTGGTAAACACCACACTAACACAGTAATACATTTGCTATAACACAGCCAAAAAACTCAAATAAAACCATTCTAAAAGCCTGTATCACAAAAAGTTAAAAAACGCCTAGGGGTATTTGCCCACTGTACCTCCATACCAAATTTCAGGACCTTAGGCCCTAAAATGAAGAAGCTGAATCCATTTAAAAAATGGCAGGAGGAGAAGAAGAAGAAGAAGAAGAAGAAGAAGAAGAAACATCAGAAAAAGCAATATGGGTTCACCACCACTTCGTGGTGTGGTGAACCCATAAAAAACTAACCTTAAGCATTTGTCAATAACACTACCTAGTCATGGATACATACTTATGAATGCTAAAGGATATCTAAAAAAGTCAAACTCAAGTCAACACTGCTTACCCGTGGTTGACAGAGATGTGACAGTTGTTGATGAATAAGTTGTAGTCGAGTTGACCACCATGAAGTCGTCAAATGCCGAGTTGTTATTCTCGTAGGACGACATCTGCCATGGGTTGCTGGAACCCTTCTGTATGTCCAGCGTCACTGTAGCATTTTCCTGGAATAAAGCATCATATGAAAATTAAAAAAAACTAGAAAGGCCAATATTTGCTTTATAGGAGCAAATACAGCGATGGCTTCACCACATTTTACGACATGGTAGGGAAAGAATGAGAAACACAAGGGAAAACAATGATTTACATTGATATAACTATAATATGAAGTAACATACAACTAAAACAACAGTTGGATAGCTATTCCCTACATTATTGGTTAGGATTTTTAATTGCATAATGCAAACTGTTGATTTTCAAAATAAAAAAAAACGTTCATGCCCCGCATTCCAATGCTGGAGCAGGAAAGCTTGAAATACCTACCAAAACACTTGAATACAGACATACTGTCAGTATGAAAATGCTCTGTGCAGGTGTTAATCAAGTTAAATCCCAACAGCCAATCAGCAAGAAGAATAGAGGAAAGCTGCATGCCTATTGGTTGATGCCCTGCATTCCATTGTGATGACTCATGCCCAAACGTGGTACACAGCACAGTAATACATTTGCTATAACACAGCCAAAAAGCTCAAATAAAACCATTCTAAAAGCCTGTATCACCAAAATTTAAAAAACGCCTGGGGGTATTTGCCCACTGTACCTCCATACCAAATTTCAGGTCCTTAGGCCCCAAAATGAAGAAGCTGAATCCATTTAAAAAATGGCAGGAGAAGAAGAAGGAGAAGGAGAAGAAACATCAGAAAAAGCAATATGGTTTTTTGCCATAAAAAAACGTTGGAAAATGACTACAAGACAAAGCAGCCAAACTCCTGGAAAAGGTGGTACGACGTGATTAGGAGGCAGCTGCTACTGATGGTAGGCTCTTTGCAGGGCTCCGCAGGGCGATTTCCCCCCGTTATTTTTAAGTACTCGCAGTTTTCTTATGGCCACCGGGTTTTGATTGCTTTTGCCTTGGCCTGGGTTGACCCGCGCACTCCCGATCCCGCCAATTAAACAAGGCGGCAACAGAGGTCACACTTTTTGGCTCTCTGTCATGTAAACCAGACTTCTTAACTTACCCTCCGGCCAGGGGTGATGTGAGTTGCCAGGATGACAGAGATGATAACTGATGCCACGACCAGAAGTCCACAACCCAGTGCAACCCAGCACACTCTGCTCGACTTCCATTTGTTCCATATTTCCACGACAAGCCCTGGGATAAAACAGGATTGATGAAAACTACATTAAGCATGTACAAAATCACGATGGTAATATTTCAGAAACGTTAATTAACATTTACGAAAGACTAAAATACAAACATAGACAGTGAGATTAATTACATAACTCTTTTTTTCTGAGCTAATAGTTGTGAAAACAGGCTCGTGAAAAATGTATATCAATGTCCTTTTGCTGATCTACAAATAAAATTAGAGTATAAAAGTGCATTGCACTCATTTTAATTCAGATTGTTTTCTTTAAATATGTTAACCTAAACATAGATTGACTTAGTCAGATTTTATTATTTTTTTCTAAAACACTGCATGAATCAAGTCCTTAATTTTTCAGAACTTAAAGAAAACATATTTGACGATATAGTTAGTGTTGCTGTTCTGTATACAATGCTTAATAGGATCCCGGATTTCATAAGTGTTTTGTAGCATCAGCATTTAAAGTGACCTTCTTTTAATGTTGTAACGTACCTTTAGCCTTGTATGGGAAGCTTACTTCCTGTGGGTCGTCAGACCCAGAAACATCCGGTTTGTCGTTGTCGCTTGTCGACATTTCTTCAGTCTCCTTGTAAGTGTGGACATCCTCAGGGTCTTTGTACACCCTAACGTCTTCTGGTTTGTCGTAGGCGCTTGTCGAAGGCTCTTCCTTAAACTCCTTGTAAGTGTGGACATCTTCAGGCTCTTTGTACCCCCTAACGTCTTCCGGTTTGTCGTAGGCGCTTGTGGAAGGCTCTTCCTTAAACTCCTTGTAAGTGTGAACATTCTCAGGCTCTTTGTATCCGCTAACATCCTGTGGTTTGTTGTAGTGGCTGGAGCAAGGCTCTTCCTCATATCCCTTGCTTACCCCCTCGGGATTTTTGTACTCGTAAACATCACGATCTTGTTTCTTGCAGTTGTTGGAGCAACATTCCTCATACCCCGTGCTGATTTCCTCAGCCTTTCGATACCCGTAACAATCTTCTGACTTCTGTCCCGAATACACCACTACGTGGTCTCCCACATGAAGATATCGCGGGTCTCGTTCCAGCGGTGGAGTTGTCTTGTCTGTCGCCATCCTGCTTCTTGCAAAAAAGGGCCTATATAATCCGACTTTTTCTAAGATCGAACCACATAAACACACACACACACACACACACACACACACACAACAACACAACAA